CATTGCCAAAAAAGTGCATTTTTACTATAGAATGATTAACTAATGAGGTTACTGAAAAACATTGCTTGAAACAAGGCACTTGTAGTCTTACTGTGAGGGAAAATAAGCAAAAGCAAACACAGAAGGATTGATTCATTCTGGTAACCACCTGCCAGTAAACACTACAGAGCTTGTCTACAATCCTAGGTGTGGGAAGCTATGGTGCTGAATCCCCCTGCACTAACTGCCTGGCTAGGGACATAAATTACACATAAACCAGTATAAGTGATCAGAATCAAGTTCAAATCTGTAACGCAACAGAAATTTAGTGCCCATAAGTCACTTTCAAAAAGGCTGACACCAGATTAAGATAAACCTAGATAGATGTAGTATCAGCCTTAACTAATTCAGGTTAAATCAGTTTATTGAACTATTGTCCCAGATCCCTTCCAGATTCAAGTTAACTTATGGTTCCCCAGCATCCCAGGTTGCTTTGCACCTCCCCCATAACCCCTTCCCCCCTCTCAGGGTGGGCAGGGTAGCCTTGCCCCAAGCTGTCTGCTCCAACCAAGCAGAGAGGAATGCTCGAACACCCCCCACTTCTGATCAGGCATGTGGCTGCATTTCTGGAAACAAAATTGAAAGTCTGTTCACTTGCTTATCTGTTCAATCTGTTCAGTTTAGGCTAACCTGTGAAGATTGAAATGATTCAGCCTCAGGCTAAGGTGCCTCTGATAAGGCAGTTAGTTGCCTCACACTTACTGCATAGTAAAAGAGGTCCGATTGGGGGCTAATTCAGGGTAGCTGGGGTACTGCAAATTCAGGCAGTTGTTTACAGTGCGCTGAATTCCTTACATAGACAAACCCAAGGTATCTTGCCCCAACCCAGAGCCAATAGCCAGAACATGTCGGGTAAGTATAGCAGTATCATTCATCTCATTCATTCAGTTCTGGAATGAGAGAGCAGGGGCTCTGGGAACCACTGCCCCAATCAACTGGTGAGCTCAGAGCTCCCTGTGGGCAACACTTTTACCAATGCAGCTCAGTATGCAGCTAGACTTCTTTGGAACGAGGGTACACTTTTGGCTCATATCTAGCCAATTGCCCACTCTAACCCCCAGGTCATTTTCTGCAGAGCTGCTGCTTAGGTAGTTGGGCTCCATCCTGTACTGGTCTTTCTGAATCCTAGCCCTACCCTCCAGCAGATCTGTTACTCCCCACCCCCGACACGTTGGTGTCATCTGCAAACTTTCTGAGGGCTCACTCTATCCAATATTCCAGGTTGTTGATGAAGATATTAAACAAAACCAGCTCCAGGAATGAACCCTGGGGCACTCCACTTGATACCGGTATACTGGTACCACAACTGTGTAGACTGGGCCTTGGTAAAACCACTTGATCATTCTTTGTTCTTTCTTTTGAAAGTTTGGGATAATACATTTCTCATTGAGGGTAAGTCAACAAGTTTAAAAAAAAAAGGTTAGCAAAACATTCCTGAATTTATTCTAAATTGGAAAAGAATGTGCATAGAATTGCCCCATGCCTGGAAGGCCAGTAGCATTCACAAAATCTCATTTTGTTTGGAAAATGTTCCTGGATACATTTAACTGCTGGCGCAAATCCCAGCAGACCTCTTTGCTACTTCTCCTGAAGCAGCAGGTTAAGACCTGGAATTGAAATAAAGTAAGTTGCATTTGGGGAAGCTACAAGAAATGATCTCTCTGATCCTCTTTAAAATTGACTCTGTGCCTAAGGATGGGAGCAATACTGAAGAAATATTTGGAGGGAAATTTTTCAGGCCCACTCAAGAATGTTAATGCCGGTTCTGGCTAGATGATAACTCCTACACTTCCTTCATAGAGCAGAAGAGGTCAGCCAGATCAAGTATCCCTGAGCAAAGTTCTTATTAGGTGGGAATATTACCATGCCATAGCTGGAGAATGGTATCCAGGTTGTAGCTGTAACCGTCTAGAGGCAAAAGGAAGCAGAACTCATGGTAGAGGTGATATCTTTTATTAGATCAAGTAGATTTTTGCAAAATAAAATTTTCTTTAATTACAAACTGTCAGGCACAAGCACCCTTCTTCAGGCATTGGGCAAAAGATTGTAAAAGTTCTCCTGGGTAGAAATGAAATTTTGTATTTCACAGGAGAGTTGAAGGGGTGGTAAAATCTCCTGTTTGGAAGAGTTTATTTTATGTGCAGATTAGGCTCAGAGAAAAGTTGGAATAGTCTGTTTACCTCCAAGTTTGTTTGGTGGTAAGATCATCTTTGTACTCTGTGAAAAAATTAAAGATTTTTTTTCTTGCAAAAATCTAGTTAGCCTAATAAAAGATATCACCTCTACCATGAGTTCTGGTTCCTATAGCTGGAGAATCAGTTTTCAGGTAGCAGCTCCTTAGATTTTGTTCTGACTTGTGAAAGCAAGTTGGATTTGCACCAATAGGTGCTGCTTAGATTCCTTAAGAAAGTAGAGGAGGAGGTAAAGTTACCACCAAAAGATATCACCCATCCCTTTGCCACAAGGATGCTCTTTTATCTGGTCCTACTGTCTTTGGAAAGGAGTGCAAATCCACTCATCTACCTCCTCAAGCACCAGATGATGATAACAACTATATACTAATACAGGGGGACATGAAGCTCTTTTGCATAAGCTCTCTTTTCCCATTCACCTGGAGAATTCCCTGTGAAAATTAAAGCAAGTAGCTCTGTACAAGCATATTAGCCTTAACCCTCTCCTCTGAGAAGGTTTTCTGAGAACTAAGGTCCTTTATCCTTGAGTTCCTATGGGGTTGTCACCCTTCTTCCAAAATAGTGGTATGACAGCTTAATCTTTCCTCCTGATCAACTGACATACTGCTTTGCTCCTGGACTTCTGGAGATTGCACAATAACGTGGGAGATATATTTTGCTGAAGGAGGCCCTAAATGCAAGATCATGAGCTGAAAAGTCAGCAAATTTTCTGGGTTTCTGTTCTCTTTTGCACAAATATCCACAGTTATAAATTCCTGCAGATATTCAAACAGCAGAGTCAGTATTTTAAACTGTCACAAGTGTATTTACAAATTAACATACATATGAGCTTTACTTAAACAAAGCAGCTATTTTAAGCAACATCTTTATGTAGGCCTCTCCAAGACAACCGTATTCACTTTTAAATGAAGTCGCTCCTAATTGTTGCCATCCTTTATGCAATTGTGGCATTTGCTGAGCAAACTGAAGTGGCAGAAAATGTGATGGAAAGAAAATCTGGAGAATTTTAATAGGCACGTCTCTTCTTTCTTTGGAGCTCTGTGGCCTGATGCCAGCCTTTTGCTGTTTGAAGCTTCTTTGTGAGCTGCAATTTAATTGATTAATTTTGCACAGGACATTGTTACAAAATCTTCACAGCTTGGCGGGATATGATTTTTCTACACTGCAAAACTTTTCAAGGCTTGAAAAAAAATGCCCATTTCTCAGAGGGATAAAACCAGGGCCGTACAAAGTTGTGAAAATTCAGAGCAAGAGACTCATTGCAAAAAAGCCAATAGCTTGTTGGTTGGGTTATTGCTTGCACTATCTGAGGTATAGCTTCAAACCGCTGAGCCACTTGCGCAATGCATCTGAACTCTAAAGATATTGGATCTGCCTGTTTCATTTTGGCCTGAATAGAAAGACTTTTCTGGAGAAAATATAGTCACACTGGTAATTTCTCACAAAATTATTCCGCTTTAGTGAAGGTTCCTATGGATTTCAAGGGGGGTTGTATTAAAAGTCTAATACTAATGACTAGATTCTGCCTTTATTTACATGTTGGAAAATTCACATTTTCAAGTGTTTGCTAACAGTGGTTGCCCCTGGTCTCATCTGAATGAAAAATGGCCTGTTGCAACTTGTTTGCAGTAGGTTTACTGTTGCATATTGCATTTTTTCCTGTGATTAAAAGAAGATTATGCACCACCTATACAGATATCAGCATATCAGTTTATTTTTTGCTGTGGTTAATGCGGTTTTTGATTTTGCCCTTACAGGAAGCTGTTATTGAGAATGGTACAATTGCTTATGAAAACTGGATTGTGCCAGGAAGTCCTGTTTACAGGCAATTTTGGATCTTTGATGTGCAAAATCCAGCAGAGGTGATGAATGGATCACGGCCAATACTCAAGCAAAAAGGGCCTTACACATATAGGTATGCAAACCCTTTTAATACATTATAACTTCTATTCAGACTAGTGTAAATTTATTGAAAATGCAACATCTTCTTTGTAAGTCAAGAAGGTATATTTTCATATAACCCCCAAGAATCTGAATATTCCCACAACTGTCTGGCATCCTGGTGCCTAGATTGGGTAAATGCACTCATATGCTGCATCCAGATGTACAGGCATGTGAAATTGGTGGTTCCACAAAACACTCTGTGGCACCACGAACCTCATGAATTGAAAGTTAAACTGTGCATAGTACTGCTAATTTGCAGTGCTGGGGCAAAATTTGCTACTGAGATTTCCAGGTAACCAACCTCTATCCCAAAAAGAACCCAGAAGAAAAAATGATGCAAAGCATGCCAAAGTGGCGTACACCAGGACAAATGTGGAGAGACTGTCTCCACATACTATGGATTCCCTATGCTGAGGCACTCAGTACCCCAGCCAGCCGCTCCTTGGCTAGCTGAGATGCAGTGGGCCTCAAGACGGGGGAGCAGTCAGCCCAGGGCTGGCTGGGGTATGAGCCAGCTGCTCCACTGCTGGCTGTGGCACAGTGTGCCTCAACATGCGGGCAACTTTGTGCCCTAGCCAGCCCCTCCTTAGCACCTTGAACTGGGTAGAGCAGCTCCAGGCTGCCCACTGGGGTTGATCTGCCAGCTCAACATATTGCCGTACCAAGCACACATGTAAATGCTCTTCCTGGGAGCAATAAACCCTGGTGCATTAATAGCAAGTGTAGATGTGTCTATAGACAAGTAATTAGTGCAAAATAATCTGTTTTTTATGTAAGAAATGCCTATTTGAACCCTGGCTTGACATGATGCTAAGGCATAATATATCACTGCTTTTAGTCAAGCTTCATCACTTTCTCACATGCTTGCTTTACTATTGACAATCCTGAACATGAAAAATCCCTAAAATCATGAATTTGCTTTATACTATGAGAATTAGAAAATGATATTTTGTTCTTTTAATTTTCCTCAGCAGGCAATATGGGGAGAAATGCATGCTTGAATAGGCAGATGGTTAGGGAAATCACCTGGGGAATAGGAGACCGTGTTTACTCCCTGCTTCAAAAGTGAGTGGGGATCTGAGAACAAGGATCTAACCTTTCTGGTGAGTGCCCTAGCCAATAGGGCAGGGCTGCTCAATTTTGATTAGGCCAGGGGCCTGTATGCCACACAGGTCATACACTTTGGGAGCATGCTCCTAGG